TCTTTGTGATCAGAGCTTCAGCATCTTCATTCCTCAGTTGTAACTCGGCTTCTTGAGATGCGAGTCTGGCTTTTAGATCTCCCACCTAAAGGAAAAGTCAGCATTCTGAAGCAACTTGCATCAAGAACATCAAATAGCAGAAATTCTGTATTTTTTAAGATAAATTCAGGGATCCCTATGCTTTTCTGGTCCTTGGCAGCTCAGGCTCACAGCAGTAGAGGCCACAGGAAGACATGCTTCATGACAGGGTGGAAGATCTCACCCATGCTCTCCAACAGAAAGTTGTTGGAGACTTCAGATAAGTTGAAGACATGAACACTCCTAATCTGTCTGAAGATTCATTGATTGCATATTGAAACGCTCACTGACAGGTCTTACCTCTTCCCACAAAATATAAAATGGCCCTCTTGATTTTTTCCCACCTCATATGACGTTTAATTTATGATCATGCAGGTAATCCAACATTCAACTTAATACCTACTAGACAGGCAAACTACGTGTGCTTTGTTGGGTATCAGTAAGGTGTGGCTGGAAGCCCAGTGAGGGTGATACATTTCTCCCATTGGCCCCCTACTAAATAACCTCACTAAGCTCTTGTGGAAATCAGTCTTTCTGAGCCACCAGCAGATTCTCTGCTAAAAAGAATGATTCTTCCCATTTTTTAATTGGGATTTTCATTGGGTTCAGAAGGTTCCTAAGTTTGATGATCACATAAATAAAAGCAGAAATAAAGTTCTAGGAAGAACTCAGTTCTCAGGAATTTATGAAAGCAGCTTTATACATCATGGTACTCAACTCTCCATTCCGTTTATATTCCTAAAGTGTAAATATTACTAATTTTAAAAATCATAAAAGCAAAGAACAATCATAACCATTTATTTTGACTCAATTGCCAAAGACACTTCAGTGATTTCACCTTGTGGAACAACATCCCACTACTATATCCAAGTAATCTCGTAATCCCCATCCCAGCACAGTTTATTCACACTCTACCTGAAAAACCCGATTAGCACTATGACTGCTACTAGTACTATTAAAGTTGAAGGTAAGACTGATTTTTTATCCTCTCTGTAAATTCAGCGTAACCTTACACAGCAACATTTGCTTCTCTGTTCTTTTTAACTATGTGAAACTAGCCTTATGTTAGGCCAACAGTCAAAAGAATCATCCATTAGGAAAATGCAAATAAAATCACCATAACATCACCAACATATTTGGTGATAACATCAAATTCTGGCAAGGATGTTGAGAAATTAGATCTCCCATACACTGCTGGTGTAATGCATAATGTGACAGCCATTTTGGAAAATATCTGCCCATTTTTTAAATAAACATAAGCATGCAATTACCATATAATCCAGTAATTTCACTTTTGCTCATTTATTCCCAGGGAAATAAAGTGATGTTCACACAAAAGCATGTACATAGACGTTCATAAAAGCTTTATTTGTAATAGATAAAACCCAGAAATAACCCAAATGTCCTTCAATGGATGAATGGTTAAACTGTGGTACATTCATACTGTCAAATACTACTCGACAATAAAAAAGGAAGACTTGTTGATATACTCAGTAACTTACATGAATCTCAAGAGATTTATGCTGAGTGAAAAAAGCCAATACCCAAAGGTTACATATTGTATAAGTCCATTTATATAACATTTTTGAAATGACAAAATTATAGAAATGGAGAATAGATTAGTGGTGGCCAAGGATTAGGGACTGGAGTGGTGGGAGAGGTGGGTGTGGTTATAAAATGGCAACAGGTGGACTCTTCATGATGATGGGACCGTTCTCTGCTTTGACTGTGGTGGTGAGTGCCCAGACCTACACATATGATAAACTTGTACAGAACTAAACACATTCACACACACATGCATGCATGAGTACAAGTAAAACTGGAAATCTGAATAAGATCTGTGGATTATACCAACACTGCTTCCTGGTTTCGACATTGTCCTATAGTTAAGATGTTATCACTGGAAG